ACCTGGCAGGCGAGGGGGGTGGGGGGCGGCTCTGCCCCTCAGCAGGCTGCTGGGCCTGCTCTGTCTTTGGTCCCAGTTCCCTCTACTATCGACATTTTTTAATAAGAGAATAAATACTCTTAAAGCACTCATACATATTGCCACTTGGCTCTCCCAAAATATTTCCATCTTATAATGCTACTAGCAAGGTTTTAAAAGCACAGAATAAATTTGGTATCTTAAACATACAGCAGCAACCATTTATTGAGTGCTTTCTATACCCTCCACCCATTCAAGGCTCCATCTCCCTAATCATACAACACTACATATTAAGCACCATGAAGCCTGATTTATGCCTGGGGAAACATTGAGATTCAAGAAAGGTACACAGTGGTCAGAAAGCTACTAAAGGAGCAGGGATTTGAATTGAAGCCTTCCTGATATCCAGAACTCAGGACATTAGCCACATTCACATTTTTACTGCAAAGTGGGTGAAAATTTGCTATAAATGAGTGTATGTGATTTTTTTTTCCAAGAAAGGGATTCATAGATATCAACCATGTCTTGGAAAGGTGGGGGAATCTTTAGAAAAACTCTCACTGAATCCTAAATGTTCATTTTAGCTCACCCCAAAATATCTGAGTACTGGTTACTCCCAGTGAGCCTGATACCATTTAGTGTTCCCCTGCAGAGCTCCACTGTGGCTGCAGAGAGGGAGAAATGCTCTAGTGTACACCGCCAGGCACCAGCTACTACTCAGACACCTGCTTCCAGACTGGTGGAGCACAAGTGTTGGGAGCAAAAATTTAGGAAAGGAAAGCACAGTAGGGACCAAGGGGTTTACCTTCTCCAGACCCTCTATGTCGTTGGGTAGAAGCACAAACATGCTGAGGTCATTGTTTTTATACGGAATCCCCACGATTTTGGCCTCCAAGTCCTCCAGGAAAACGAAACTAAAAGAATGGTGCTGTTCCATCATCCACACAGACTTACTTGTATTCTGCAACAAGTTAACAGAGCACAGGATGTCAAAAGGCATTAGACCAAAGGCACAGGCAACAAGCTAGCTCACTGAAGTAATCAGATAATAATGATGCTAAAGATCAATCACAGAGGGGCATTTGCCACCGGTGTATGTTTGCTCAAATATGACTTCAGATCTTATACTCCATGTGAAAGCACATCACGTAAATAAAGAATCATACCTTATTCAGCCAAAATTCTTCTTCCTTGGTATTTTCTTTATTAAACTCCCTATCCCACTGTCCTTTAAAATAAACTGTGTTTATCAGCACCAACTTGGTAGAGCTACTAAGAGAGCCATCTGGAAACAGGTCCTTGATTTTTTCTGCCAACAGAAAAAAAAAGGAAAGATTGGTCCATCTTCCAGATCAAAGATGGTATGTGTGGCAGATAGGAAGCAGACAGCCTTGACTGATTACTGAAAATTCAGCCAGGTCAGCACCTGAAGGCCTTGCCGACAATGCGTTCGCTGCAGAATCGGTGGGGAGGTTGTCACTCTGCCCATCGCCTATTTATCCCACTGGATAAATTGAGGTTGATGGTTAAGAGTCCCGCCTCTGGGGTCAGATTGCCTCCAGTGGCATCCAGTTCTGCCTCTTATCAGCTGAGGAATCTTGGGCAAGTTATTTAAGCACTCTGTGCCTCAGTTTCCACATCTGTAAAATAGGAATAAAACCTGCCTCACAGGTTGTTGGAAGGAGTCAGTGATTTAATATGTAGAAAGCCTCAAACACTATCTGGCACATCATAAGCACTTGGTGTGCAACTATTCTTCCCTAGTCAATATGGATCCTACCTGAGGTTGAGAGATTGCTTATTCTATGAAAAATGGAACTGATATTTTGGGCTCTGGGTTCAGTCCATCCCACACTACATCCTGAAAAACACTGTTCAGCTAAACTTTTGTAAAACCCTTATATTCTGGTTGTTTTAAGTTTCTTTCTTTAAATGAAGCATGAAAAAAGTGCATTCTGTAATTACAGCAACCTCCCTGACAAATGGAATAAAAAATGCTAAATATCAGCTATTGTTTCCCAAAGTGAATCTCCACATTAACTTTTCTTTCCAGTATTTCTTGTGTTTTTGACCCATACTGGGAATGAGAAGGGGATAATCGGGAGAGGAATTCATCCAATTCTCTGATGTAGATGGGACTGAGCACTGTATCATCCCTGAATGATGCCCAAGTGGAGATGAGGCCCAGGTGGCCCCAGCTGTAGGTAGCAGAGACAGGTCTTGATGGAGAGCTGTGTGCTTCTCATGTAACAAAGGGAAAGGGAACTCTCTGTGACATTTGCACTTGGGGACCCAGACACAAACAGAGATGTTCTGATATGCAGGAAAGAATATACTCAAGAGAGGCAGGAGCCCAGTTCCAGGAACCCCAATGGTACTCTAATACACAGCCGTGCGCAAAGAGTCCTCCAAGGGTCTCCACACAGCCGCTTCCTACGGTCCCCTCCTTGGTTCCCCTTGAGTCTCCCCTTTTGCTGTGTCCATTTCACTATCTGCAGTGTCCTCCCCTTTACGCCCAGCCCTGCCTGTTCAACCCTGCAAAACCCATCTCAAGCCCCTCCCAGAGTGTCCACCTGGCTCCCATGCAGAACCAAGCCCAGGGCTTCACTCACAGAAGACAGTCAAGAAGTCTTTGTATGACCAACGACCCCCCCATACTCTACCATTTGTTTGACTTTCAACCCAGGAATTAATCTTCTTTCGCGTTCATCAGCTTCATTTATAAAATCAACAGGTTCCAGAGATGCATGGTAATATTTTTCAACATAATCTAAGTATTTCTTTAGGAAAAACAGGAAAGACATAGAAGTTTAACAGTCAATTTGTCAATTGCCAACAGCTCTAAATAAAAGTACCAGTTGATTAGGATGACTAAGGTTAAAAAAAAAAAAATTTAATTCCCTGGAAAATCACTTTAAATGCCTCCACACACAACTTTATGCAGATGCAAGAGGATTAAGGCAAAAATTATGCTCAGAATGCCAGAGTTCAAAATAAATGTCTAGGGCACAGACCATCAGTGATATGGGTAGAGCCAAGCAGCCAACTTAGGAGACACACCCCTAGGACCCACAGTCCTGATGGTCACTTGGCCATTCAAACTAACACTCACAGATGTGGTGGACACAGCAAAACTTACTTGAAGGAAGAGGAATGTTTTTTCTCCAAACAGCCTGTTGGCTAAGTTCAGTTCATAATCATTAGTGAGTTTGCTTATTTCAGTCAAAACCTGTTGGAATTGGTGATGGATCTCTTCTGTCTTCTCAATCTTCAAAATCAAGACAAAAACTCAATAGGTTATCTGGGCAAAGGCAAACCTAGATTCTCCTTCATGAGGATTCAGCTACTGGGTCTTCCCCTCAGGTGGGCACCCTTGAGTGCAATCTGTGGGTTCCTGTGGCCCTTAGACGACAGTAGGCTTCTACATGAATCATATGATCCTGTAAGTCATGACAAGTCTCAGCTCCACAGAGAGGCTTTGTCCACCAGCCCAACACCACAGGTCTTTCTTTTCTGACTCAGGTTGCATTTTTGGTCTCAAATGTAATTGTCTACTATGTTTTATACATTGTTTTTATCTGCCGACGACACTCCAGGCACCTAAGAGAAGTAGATAATTCCCACCAGATAATTCTTATCTGCCAGAGTTTAGAAATTTCTGTTCTAGACAGACAGTGGATAAGAAAAGTGACTCTTGATGGAATAAGTATGTATTTGTCAGAACTACATGTAGAACTAAAATGAGATTTATCACTGTCTCTGGGAAACAATCAGCTTTTCTGGACATTTCCTACAGGATCCATCCATTTTCTGATTGAGGGCTGAAGTGTGTTCCATGGCAGGGCCACCCAACCCCGAACACATCTCTGGAACAAAGAGGAGAATGGTCTCATTGCCTGTTTAGTGATATCTGTCTGCTTAAAATCACAGTGGATGCAAAGAGAGGGCATTTTAGTTTTGAAGTGGATGACCTGTTTGCACCTGGGAACAGAAAGGCCAGTAGAGTGTAGCACAGAAAGGCAGCAGAAGGCGCTCCAACTAAAAAAAACAACAAACCTCTTACAGATTATGTCACAAGGTTGAGAAGTCCCCTGAAAATAAGTTTGAGGGTTTCTAGAATCTCTAATTGAAGGAGGTACTCCATATACTAAAGCAGACCATAGGAGAGGTGGCTAATTTTTCAAATGCCAAAAACTAACAAAAGATAGCAAGGAATACAAAAAACAAGAGAGCAAAACTCAATCAATGAAACAATCTCCAAAAACTGACCTAGAAGATATAGAGATAGATGGGACTGGGGTTGTGGCTCAGGGGTAGAATACTTGCCTCGCCCGCATGAGTCCCTGGGTTCGATCCTCAACACCACATATATAAATAATCAAATAAAATAAAGGGATCGTGTCCATCCACAACAGCTTTTTTAGTGCCCAGAAGTCAGAGCAATTCCTTTTCTCTCACTCTATGTCCTTCAAATTTTCTAAATTTTTGCTCAGTCTTAGAAATAATAGAAATTTCCAAATGCACACCACATCACTCAAACATAAACCCTCAGACTTTTATGCCCATGTGCAAAAATACACACATTAACAGACTAATTTTATAGCCATAAGAAAAAAAAAACACAGAACAAGCAAAATAAAGGAATTCTTTCTAACACATGGTGATTAAGGCCAAATGAGTGGAGATGAGATCCTTCAAGGAAACAAGAGAGGTTTCATCCTACAGGAAACAGAGCCATGCATGACTAGCTCTGTTTCAAATAAGGATTATTATTAACTA